CCCAGCCAAATGCCTCATATTGTATTTATTTATCTAATTCCAGTCCAGGTACAATACCTTACATCATTTTTCTCAGTTTGGAATTCCATAAGTATAAATCCTGCCCCAGATGCTCAAAATACCCTAACATTTTTCTGGACTTCAAGACAATTTAGGCATCTGTTGGATGACTTGCCTTTCCTACAATTGAAATTATTTTTGTCCAAGCACTAGATAGTCAGTTTACAACTAATGACATAAGGTAAATTCCTAAATGAGAAAAATAAACTTGAAAGGGAACATTAAATATGTAAGTAATTTGGGACAAATATCTATAAGTGATGTGAGAATGTTGACTGAATTGATTATGGAAATGATTCCTGTGATCAAAAACCCTGGATAAGTCTCATTTCCTCATTTGGCTTTGCTAGACATTGCTTCAGATAACATGTACGTCCGGCAACTATCAAGCTTCAATAACAAGTTGGTCTGAATACAAGAACTGAATGTACTATTAGCCATAAGAATGACCTTATAAAAGAAAGAAAGAAGGAATCTATGACTCCCAGATATACTGAAAATGAGCAAAAAATAGCCAGAATGATACTAGCTAAATCAGTCTCATGAAGTCCAAATACCTACTTTCAATCTTATGTATTCACAAACTACTTTATTTGAATAAATCTGTAGACATCTTAAGCACATTTGAAAACAGCTTTTTGAGAAGCACTGAATCAAAATCTAGTTATTTTGATATGTGGATTTACTACATTAAAAAACCTTCCATACATACAAACACAGACACCAAAGTAAAAGAATAAAAGGAAACTAAAATAAAAGGAAATAAAAGAATAAATTTCAATAATTCAATTATTTTCTCAGAACAGTCACTGTAACTTCACTGCAGTAATGGAAAAGATATCTAGAACTTAAGAAAAAATGTGATATAAATTTTATCTCCCAAGAAAATCCAGTATTTAAAAGCCAGTCAATAAGTCTGTTTTGATAGGATGAAGAAATGAGAAAAAGTTCAAATAGTCAACAGGATCTAAGCATATTACCAGCCACCAAGAATCAAAATAGAATTGCTCAGAGAAAAGCTTACATGTATGAGTTTGTGTGTGTGTGTGTGTGTGTAGACAGGTGAGAAAGAGAGCTAGAGGAAGCATGTTATTAAATCAACAGGATCAAAATTTGAACATTAGCAGTAATAACAAATAATGGTGGAATGTAACTACAAATCAGTGGAGGCACTGCAGAATTGAAATTGAAATAAAAAGTTTGTAAATCAATTTGTATCAAAAATATATAATAAATTGATAGCCTCATAGACTGATAATAGAAAAATAATACTAAAATTCAACTTACTCCAAACCAAACCAACATAGTTGAATTGCCCCTTTGAAATCACAAGAAAATATTCCAAGGGCTGAAAAATGACTTTCACAAAAACGTTTTGACAGATGATGGTAATCTCATGAAAGGCAAAGTACAACTCACATATATTTCTCTAAATATATATGAAGTAAATATATGCCCCCCCAAACCAGTTTTCATAACAGGCTCAAAAAACATCTCCTTAAAAGACTTCAGTCAAGATACTAACAATTAGGAGGCAGAGAAATAAATCTCACCTGATTACTTGTCGGTTCACATTTGCCTAAAACGATAGCTGAGTCTTCAGCTATTAAGAGTGGCTCGCTTTTCTCACAGCTCTCCTGGCTGATAAGCGTGTCTGCATAGTTGGGCTGGGGGAAGATCAGGTGACTCTTTCGCGAGTCTGCGGTGAGGGAGACCTCGTGGGAATAGGTCTGCAGGAAAGCCCGCACCCCGTCCACGCCCACAAAGTGCGAGCCAGGCACAGCTGTCAAGCCGCCTCCCGAAGCCTGCAGCGGGCGTGACTTGTGCCAGCGCCGCAGCCTGAGCGCCAGCAACACGATGATGAAGGCCAGGAAGACGCAGGAGACCGCGGCCACCGCCACCACCAGGTACAGCGTGAGGTCTGAGGTTTCAGAATCAGCTGGAGACTCGAGGCTACTGAGGTCCGCCAGGACTTCGGGGATGCTGTCGGCCACGGCCACGGTGAGTGTGACGGTGGCCGAGAGAGGGGGCTGGCCGTGGTCCTGGACGGCCACCACGAGGCTCTGCTTGAGCGCGTCTCTGTCCAGCAGGGCCCGCGCCGTGCGCACCTCGCCCGTGTGCAGCCCCACCGCGAAGAGTCCAGGCTCGCTGGCCTTGAGCAGGCGGTAGAACAGCCAGGCGTTCTGGCCCGAGTCTCTGTCCACCGCCACCACCTTGGTCACCAGGTAGCCGGGCTCTGCGGAGCGGGGCGCCAGCTCCACGCCAGTGGAACCATCTGTGGGGAGGGCGGGGTATAGGATCTCGGGCGCATTGTCGTTCTGGTCCAGCACGAAAAGGCTCAGTGACACGTTGCTGCTGAGGGGCGGGTCCCCGCTGTCATGTGCTATCACTCTCAGTTGTAAGTCTCGAAACTGCTCATAGTCGAAGGATTGTAGGGCATAGAGAACACCAGTGTTGGAGTTAATAGAGACATAGGAGGACAGAGGCACCCCCTGGACAGTGTCATCGATCAGAGAGTAAGTGACCAGGGCATTCTCTTTGCCGTCCGGGTCCAGGGCGGTCACTGAGAAGATGGAGGCACCTCTGGGGTTGTTTTCGGGAATGTAGGCAGAGTAAGACGAGTGAGGAAAAACTGGAGGGTTATCGTTGTCATCTGCCACATTCAGCCAGATGTGAGTTTCGGCAGACAAAGGCGGGCTTCCCTGGTCTGTGGCTGTCAATGTTATATTGTAGCTCTGGACCAACTCCCTGTCTAGCACTTTGCTTGTTATCAATTTGTAATAATTTCCGTAAGTCTTTTCTAATTTAAAAGGCAGGTGGTTAGGAATAAAACAGGAGACCTGACCATTTTCTCCAGAATCTTGATCTTGCACATTTAGAAGAGCAATGACTGTACCTGGAGGAGAGTTTTCCATAACTGAATTAATAGAAGAGGTGATAGTTATTTCTGGAGCGTTATCATTCACATCCACAACAGTGATCAACATTGTCGCGGTGGCAAAGAGACCTCCACCATCTTGGCTTTGAATTTCCATCTCATAGAATCTATATTTTTCAAAATCCAGAGACCCCCGTATTAGAACTTCCCCAGTTTGTGAATCCAACTGGAATATTTCAGAAGCCTTGCTTTCCACGTTCCGAAATGAATACATTACTTCCCCGTTGATTCCCTCGTCTGGATCCCTCGCGTTTACCACCAGCACCCGAGTTCCGGAGCTGAGATTTTCTGGAACGCTCACGCGATATACGGACTGTGTAAACATTGGGATGTGGTCATTCACGTCGAGGACCACCACACGAATGGGAATCGCGCCCTTTCGGATGGGATCACCTCCATCTAAAGCTGTGAGGAGGAGGAGGTGAGCAGCCTCTTTCTCTCGGTCCAGGCTTTCCTCCAGTACTAGTTCTGGATTTTTGGCCCCATCCGTTCTGCTCCGCACTTGCAAGGAAAAGTAACTATTAGAGCTGAGCTGGTAGCTCTGGAGGGAGTTCACTCCCACATCTGGATCCCTCGCATTAGGAAGAGCAAATCGCGCCCCAGGAGTTGCATGCTCACTAACTTTTATCTCCACTTCCTCTTCTTGGAAGCTGGGGGCGTTATCATTAATATCCCTTATTTCCACCTCCACTCCGTAAATCTTCAAGGTGTCTTCCACGAGAATCTCCATATTTAAAAAACAGGAGGACACCGTCTCACAGAGTTCCTCCCGGTCTATCCTGCCTGCCGTGATCAAGCTGCCGCTTCGCGGATTCACAGCGAAAAGCTGTGTCTTCCCTCTGGAGACGATGCGGACTCCGCGCTGAGCCAGCTCCCGGGGATCCAACCCCAGGTCCTTGGAGATGTTGCCCACGAAGGAGCCGTTTTCGGTCTCTTCGGGCACAGAATATCGGATCTGCCTGGCCCGGAACCCCCGCAGCATCCCCAGGAAAATGCACAGCAGCACCAGCCGACTGCGGTCCAGGCGCAGTAGCCGATTCGCCATGACAGGCTCTAAGCCGATATTCCGCGGTTTCTGGAGCTAGTTTGTTGTGAATCGGCTGATGTATCTATGAAGTCCCAGGCCGACTGCATCCAAAATATATCAGAAAGCGAAGGAAAGTACTTTTAAGTTTCCAGTGTCAGCATCTGCGAGTATCCATCTCATTCCGCTTTGTGTGGTAGAGGCGGAGGAGGGAGGGACTAGACAGCGCGCAGCTTCCCATTCCCTGATTGGTGAACAGCGGCGCCTAGAGCCCATTCTTATTATTGCAACGACTAAGAAATTCCCGGAGAAATGATTACTCACCTCGTCGTGAATCACACGTATTTGTAGAACTTAAAACGGTTATACACAACAATTACAATGTGATGTAAAAATTTTACCAAGAACACTCATGAAAGGAGTATAATTACTCCTTTTAATAAAGGGCTTGCCTAATTTTTAAGACGTTTTCAAAAAATATTACTGGAATTGAAAACTTGCAGGTTATAGTTGGTTCCAACTGATTTTTACCGACTGAAAGGAGCGACATTTCTGGAAGTAGAATAACACGGTCCCTATAAAATCATCACGTAGGATGCCTAACCATAATTATTACAAGTGTTTCTTTATTGAGTAAATGAACATGAAACACTTAAGAAAAATTGAGTAGCATCAGGATTTCAATTAAAATACCATGGCGTAAAAGTATACCTGTATTTTATATTTTTAACCAAAAAGTATTTTATTTCATGAAAGTTTTATCTGAGATTACCCATGTAGTTTGCTTTAAAATGTCTTTGAGTAGTAGGAAGATAGAGGCATTTTATTTAAACTTTTAACAATGATAACCATAAATTTCACCTATATTTTGGGGGCCCTATGAAGGAGTTATCTAGAATCTTAAAGTAATATCACTATATTGAAATATATTGGCATACTGTAATATAAAAAGGATTGAATACATTTTTAAATACTTACCTGTTTAAAAATCTTCTTATCTGTTTCAAAACCAGGAGTTAAAATGCTAGCCAGTAGCACGGAAGAGCTATCTTTGTTGAGGTTATCTTGTGTGGCTGGACAAAGATCAACAGACGTGAGAAAATTAAATTCTGGATTCATTTGATCCCCAGGTACACTAAAATTATAGGCATAGGGCAAAGTTCCCTCATTGTAGTTGGGGGGAACCACAGGTCCAGACTTGGAGCAGACAACTGACTCAAAGCAGCCCCCTGCAGTAGGGCTGAAAGACTGTCGTAGGCGTAGAGCAATCGCTAGAATCACCGCGAGGAGAAAGAGCGCAGAAATCAAGGCCAAGGCCACCACCAGGTAAAACTGCAGCTCAGCCTGAGAATCAGAGGATGTGGGACGATCGCTCAAGTCCGGCAGTACCTCTTGCAAGCTATCCGCGAACACCAGGTGCAGCGTGGCAGTGGCTGAAAGGGGTGGCTGTCCTCCATCTTTTACAGCGACCAGCAGGCGATGGCGGACGGAGTCCTTGTCACCCAAAGCACGCACCATGCGCACCTCGCCTGTTCGCAGACCCAGGCTGAAGAGCCCAGGCTCACTGACCTGCACCGTGTGGTAGGACAGCCAGGCATTGTGCCCCGAGTCGGCGTCCACGGCCACCACCTTTGTCACCAGGTAGCCTGGCTGCGCGGCCCTCGGCACCGTGTCGAAGAGCGCGGAGCCGTCGGGACCCAGCGCAGGGTACAACACCCGTGGTGCGTTGTCATTACGGTCGCCCACCAACACGCGCAGGCTCACATTGGTGCTGAGCACGGGCGAGCCCTGGTCGCGAGCCTGCAGCGTGAGCTCGAAGGAGCGCAGCTGCTCGTGGTCGAAGGCGCGCTGCGCGAATACCACCCCACTCTGCGCGCTCACCGACACGTAGGACGACACCGTTCGTGGCTCCAGGTCACTGGCAACGATAGAGTAGGAGACACGGCCATTGGGCCCAAAGTCTGGGTCAGAGGCACTGACTTGCGCTATAGAGGCACCCGGCTGGTTGTTTTCTGGCACGTGGACCAGGTAGGCAGACTGTCCGAAAACAGGCACGTTGTCATTGACGTCAGTGATATACAGGGTGATGGTTTTGCTGGAGGAGAGCGGAGGCTTGCCCCTGTCGGTGGCTGTGATGGTGACGTTGTACGCTGGGGTCTGCTCCCGATCCAGGGACCCATCTGTTACTAACTTGTAGTAATTATTAGAAGAAGAATGAATCTTAAATGGAACATCTCTACTTAAACTGCACCTGACTTCCCCATTTTCCCCAGAGTCTCGGTCCCGTGTTTTGAAGAGGGCAACAACCACTCCTGGAGGCGAATCCTCCATAATCTGATCAGAGAGTGACGCGATGGTTATTTCTGGGCTGTTGTCGTTTTCATCTAGAACTTCTATAATTACTTTACACCGTGTGGAGAGAGATCCTCGGTCTTTTGCTTCTATGTTCATCGTATATCTTTCCACTTCTTCAAAATCCAAAGGCTGCTGAGTTAGAATGTTTCCTGTAGTGTAATCCAGAGAGAATACGTGCTGAGCTTTGTCAGCCACACCAACGAAGGAATAAGTGATCTCTGAGTTGATGCCCTCGTCCTGGTCAGTGGCCTTCACTCTCAGGACGGAGGTGCCTGGAGGCACGTCTTCCCGAAGGCTGACCCTGTACACGTCCTGGCTGAACACTGGGGGGTTGTCATTGGCATCGATCACCAGGATTCTTATCTGAGCGGTACCGCTTCGGGGAGGGGTCCCACCATCTAAGGCGGTCAGTACCAAGTGGTGAGCGCTCTGCGTTTCTCGGTCCAGAGTCTTCTGCAGTACTAATTCTGGATATTTGCCACCATCAGGATTGTCTTTCTCCACCAAGGAGAAATACTCGTTAGGACTTAGTTGGTATTTGCTCAGCGAATTCATACTAATATCAGGATCTTCTGCAGACTCAAGAATTGTTCCCATCCCCGGGCTGACGGACTCACTGATTTCCAAGTTTATTTCATCTTTCTGGAATTGAGGAGCGTGGTCATTAACATCCTCAATCACCACAATGATATGAAAGATATTTAAAGGATTTTCCACCACAGCTTCTAATTGCAGCTCACATCTTCTCTCTTTGCATATCTGCTCACGGTCTATTCGGTCCTTCACTAGTAAGTCCCCGCTCTCCGCGTCTACGCTGAAGTGCAGCTTCTCCGCGCTAACTCGCAGCTTGCGAGCCGACACATCCAGGACACTGAGCCCTAGATCCTTAGCGAGGTTCCCCACCACCGAGCCCTTGGCCAGCTCCTCCGGAATCGAGTAGCGGATCGGCTCACACAGCGCCGGGTAGAACAAAGGCAGCAGCAAGAGAAATAATACCTTCCGCAGGCCGGCCGGGCGCCTCTGCGCGCAGCTCCCTCCCATCGTTCGCTCGGATTCTCGCTGGGTCCTAGCTTTTCCAGTTGGAGAAAGTGCACTTTACCGCGCTAGAAGACCATTCGGCCCAGGACGGGAGCAGTCCCGGGTCTTGGGGCTGGGAATCCGGTGTGCTGGGCAGGGTCTGCGCAGCCGGGAACCTGTGTGTGTGAGCTGGTTTTCTTCTCTCTGTTGGCTGCACAGGGGATTCCAGGCTAGAGGCTGAAGGATCCCGGGCGTCAGCGCTTGCTCTGCACTGGCCGACAGCGGCGCCCAGAGGCTCCATGTGGGACTGCAGCTTGGCTTTTCTCCATCTCTTTCAATAATTTTTTTTTTTTTTAAATACGAGTTGGCAGTCAAAATATTTGAATCTTCTTCCTCGGTGATTCCCTTTACATCACGAAATATATTTCCACTGGTCATACTACCATATATTTTTATGTACGGAAATTTACTATCTTGAATATTTTCTTCAAAATTTAAAAAGGCACAAAAGAATATAGCATGAAGGTGTATAGGTCTCCTATCCCATAGCCCATTGCTATCCAATTCCTCTATCCAGAGGCAATCATTCTTGCTCCTTTTAAGAGTAATTATCCATTAAGCTGGAAGTACTGAAGATAAGTCATAAACTTTTTTTGCCTTCCATTCTAGCCTATATTCAGCTAGAAAGTAATCATTCCTTCTTTCACATTTAAGTACTGGAATACAACCATTGCCATAGACATTACCATCATACAGGGTGTCCTGTATTGCTTTTAAATACTTATATTTTAAAATATTTTCTTACAATAGCTACAATGTCCAAAAAGTAGTTTTTAAAAAAACTCTGTATTTTTCAAAATTGTAGAACTATTTGAGATGAACGCACAATAATTTTGAAACTCATAAACAGAAATATAATAGTTTCAATGATTTCATAGTTAATAATTGTGACCCTAAAGAGTGTGCTTTCCTTCCACAGACCTATTATTGAACAAATGTTGACTGGCATGAAAAAAATTCGTGGTCTTATAAAGGTCTTGAGAAACTTTGGAATGATTTTTGATTTTATACACCACATTTTGTAGAATATTAGTGATAAAATTAAGAAATCAACCTAATGCATCACTATCTTCATTGAACTAAATTGACTCATCAGTACCTCTTCTGATCCTTTGTTTAGAATAATTTCCCCTACTTCTTTGCATATATTCTTTCCTTTTTCACAGCTGTGGTTGTTGGTGCTTATATTCTGATCTGCAGAAATGGCATTTATTTCTTGGCTCTAAGTTTATTTTGCTTCTCAATTTCAGAGTTTTCAGAGTTTCAGGTATTTGCCTTCCTATACATTAAAGGGCCATCAAAACAGCTTTATCATATATCTCTTGCTCCTGTTATTGGGAACATGTACAAATTTATCTGTCTTCCCAATGTATATTTACTTTCAGCCTTAGTAATTAGAAAATTTAACAAAAAAGACAAAAGCAGAGCCCCCAATGTTTTTAATTTCACCCTCTATACCCTCTTTAGAATCCCTATTGAGCAATAAAAGTTAAATTAAAATGCTATATCTTCCACATAGTAGTGCAAAATTAGAGAGTTATATGCAAAAAGGATGCTTCAGTGTTATCAGGTATAAACAGGACTGGAAAAATCTAAGCATATATTGTTATAAATAAATTATTAATTCAATGTTGATGAAAAATTTAAGCATATTCAACTGCAACTATCACCACAAAGTATAGATTGAAATATATATAAAATGAAGTTTGAAAAAGGACTATTGCTCTTCTCCTTGGGAAGAACTGCATTGAGTAATCTTGGATTTGGGTTGTATTTCCTGAGACCATAATGCATTTCTTTCTGATATGTACCTATTCTTACTAGACCTGCCTTCAGAACAACAGGGTTGCTTAAGGGGCTGGAGTTTCGGTATGTGACCACCCAGGAGGAAATATAAATTGACAGGTACTTCTGTATGGAAGTCTGTCTTAGGAATTGCCAATATTATATTCAACAACACAATAAACTGTAAGGTTCTGCAGAGCTAATCATAACAAAGCCTTATGACAATAGGCCTTGATTGAGACTAGGTGAATTTTACCAAAAGGTATTTAAAAAAAAAACAAAAACCTGAACAAACATCAAATTCTACTCATCAATGTTTTAGCATTTACACTTTCCACCCTCATGCTGCAAACTTAAAAGTAAAACCAATCATAACTTTTTAAACAAGAGACAAAGAGGAAAAATAAAATAAAACTCACTGGAACCAAAGGGGTGTCCTCTATAGGAAACTTCGAATCATCTAATAAAGACAAAGGATCCTTTTTCTCACAGCTCTCCTGGCTGATGAGCGTGTCTGCATAGTTGGGCTGGGGGAAGATCAGGTGACTCTTTCGCGAGTCCGCGGTGAGGGAGACCTCGTGGGAATAGGTCTGCAGGAAAGC